GTACAATTTATGAGGCTTTATTTTGGGCCCCTACTAGGTTTTTATATGTCTTTGTCATAAACACTCTTTTGTTTACTTGCTTATGTTTTTAACTTTGGCCCTCAATAAGATTTCTAAACTCCCTTTGGAGGTCTGCGCTCTGTTTGATCGCCAGCAGAATGGCAAGAAGTCAAGCCCCATGCCACCCTCCAATCCCACACTGCGCTCTCTCTCTCTCTCTCTAGGAAGGAGGAGGAGGAGCAGCAGCCAGGGGCAGGAATGGGCAGGAGGAAGCGTGGCGCCAGGAGGTGGGCAACGAAGGCAGCCTCCTCGAGCGGGCATGCTGGTCTCCTGCCCTGGCAGCCTGGGCTGGTTGCCTGGCTGGTTGCAAGGAAGGGCGGGAGCAGGGGTGCTCACTTGGTGTGTGTGTGTGTGCAGGGGTGCCCCCCAGCTTATTTAAAGGCCCCCCAGATTTAAAAAATTCTGGCTGCGGGCCTGGTGTTCTCCCCTTCAGGGGACCGCAAGCTGTTTAAAAAGGATCTGTTCATGAGCTGGAACAATCCGGTGACCATTTTGTTGTTCAGCTCCTTTATTTTTTGAGATACGTTTTGTCCCCCCCCACCCCATTTTACATCCTGCCCTGCCCTGGATAGCTCAGGCAAGCTGATCTCATCAGGTCTCAGAAGCTAAGCAGGGTCAGCTCTGGTTCGTACTGGGATGGGAGTCCACCAAGGAAGTCCAGGGTTGTGATGCAGAGGCAGGCAATGGCAAAACCACGTCTAAAGTGTCTCTTGCCTTGGGAAACCCTAACAGGGTCGCCATAAGTTAGCTCTGACTTGATGGCACTTCCCACCACCACATTTTGCATCCCAGGGTGATTCTGCATCTAGCGTTCGCTCCACATTTTCCCAAGTGGGAGGGAAAAGTGCAGCTCAGAACCACACTCAAATACCTCGGGGCAACCCCGTACGGACTGCAAAAAGTCACCCCTGAATGGCCATAAAATGGCCATAAAACTATTCAGAAGGTACCATAAAATCCGATGATCAAAGAAAGCGAAAGTGGCATGGAGTGTGGAGGGCAGTGTTCCCTCTAAGCTGAGTTAGTGTGAGCTAGCTCACAGTTTTTTAGCCTCCGGCTCACACATTTTTGTCCTGGCTCAGGAAGGACGGCTCCAGAGCAAACGAACTTATGCAGTAGCCAAAGTGCTCACTCACAACTTTAATGCCAGTAGCTCACAAAGTAGAATTTTTGCTCACAAGACTCCACAGCTTAGAGGGAACATTGGTGGAGGGTACCATAAAATCCAGTGGTCGAAGGAAGTGAAAGCGGCATGCAATGCAGAAGGGAAGTTCTGTTCCAATGTGGGCTTGGTCAAACAACGGAGGGGAAACCCAGTGCAGAATCAGCCCTAAACTGAAGCAGCTGAGGATGTGCCCAAATAGACGGAGTGGAAAACTGTCTAACTTCCATTTTCTTCCCTCAGAAGGAAGCTCTGTGTCCCTGAGCTGGAAGATCAGTACCATGGAAGCGAAAATAGCTCCAGAGCAAGCAAAAGACAACGCTAATCCACCATTTTTGGACAAGAACCATGGCCTGCACACTGTGAAGAGATTTTCTCTCTCTATTTCAAAGCTTAAGGTAGAAACAAATCTCTCAGCTTTCTCCAGCATACGTGGCAAATGCAAGGAGACGGTCCACATGCAGAACTAGGGTTGCTTGCTCCGGGTTGGAAAATTCCAGGAGATTTGGGGATGGAGCCCGGGGAGGGGAGGCACCTTAGCTGGGGTATAATGCCCTAGAGTCTGCCCTCTAAAGCAGCCATTTTCTCCAAGGGAACTAATCGTAGCGGTCTGGTGATCGGTTGTATTTTTGGGGAGCTCTCCAGGCCCCACCTGGAGTTTGGCACCCTCATTCAAACATATCCCCTACCTCCCCTCTTGTTGCTTTCCCCATTGCCTGTTTTAAAATGTAAGCTCCTTGAGGGCGGGGATCTAATTGTGCTTTGTTAAGTGGCATGTCCACATGTGGTGTTCTATATATAGCAATAAGGATGTGGGGAGGGATGTGGCTGTAAATCAGGATTGTTATGCAAACCAGGACCAGTTGGGCCAAGTGAATCATCCAAGAACACCCAATCGATGTGGTCAGAAGGCGTGCTGAGAGCAGGTTAAACTGCTCCGGTTCTAACCGGATTATATTTGATCTGGATAATTGCGATCACACTTACCTCCCTTATCCCATCTCACTGCGCAGTCATGTCGCTCCCTGGCGTCTACACTACCGATGCATGAGAGCGTGTGTTGGCGGGTTTTTAAATTTTTTCCTCAGTTTGCGCATGCACATAGGGGCTCATTCATAGAATGGGAGGGCGGAACTACCATGGTGCATGCGCAGAACCGCCAGGGCGGATCAATCCAACCCCTCCAACAAAAGACTTCCCTTTAAACGTTTGACCCGAAAATGGCCACCGTGAGATCCCGAACTCATCTAAACTCTAAAACAAGTGACCGTTTAAATGTCGGTTTTCTAAACACGGTAGCGGAGCTCTGCCTATGTGCGCACCGCTGACGCTTTAAAAAAATGGCGGGCAAAAAGCGGAAGCCTCAGGCAGCTTTCAAGCGGGGAGCGGGTTTAAACTGGAAGTGGCTTGACACCCGAGGAGTGATCACACAGGGGGGGAATGCGGCTTTAAACGGGAGAGCTGAGAAAACACCACTTTGGTCCCGTTCACACGAGGGGATTTGGGCCGGGAGCGGGACGGTTCGGGGGCGGAGAAAACGGGCGCGATCACACCACAACGTTT